AAAATTAAAAAATCTAAAAAATTGTGTGAAATTCCAAATCAAAAATTTACAAAATCTAAAAATTAAAATATTCAAAAGTTGGAAAATCAGAAAATTGAAATGTTTAATAATGAAAACTCATTCATTTCAGAATATTGAAGAAAAAAAAAAAAGAAAAATTGAAATTGAAAAAACAAAAAATTTAAAAATCGGAACATTGAAAAATTGAAAAATTGAAAATATTGAAAAAAACAAAAAACCGAAACAAAAAATTACAAACCGAAAATTTAAATTAATGAATGAAACAAGAAACATGAACAATTGAAAAATCATCAGTCGGATATCTGAAGAAACGAAACATTGAAAATTGAATAATTGAAAAAATAAAAAAAATAAGAAGTCGAAACAAAAAAACGTATATCCAAAAAAACGAAAAATTAAAATTAAAATCTGAACAAACAAAAAAAAAAGAAAAATTGAAATTGAAAACTCCAGAAAATGTTTTTCAAGTTCTTGTTTTCCAATTTTTATACATATTTTACATTTTATACTTTTTCGTTTTTTCATTTTTGATTTTTCCATTTTACAATTTTATGATTTTTCCATTCTTCTTTGATTTGATTCTTTGATTTGAGAAATTGAAAACTCGAAAACCTTAAAAATCGGAAAACACTGAAACGTCGAAAAACTGAAAACACAAAAAATTGCAAAATCGAAAAAGTGGAAAATCGGAAAATTGCATATTGAAAAATTGGGGGAACGCAAGATTGAAATATTAAAAAACTAAAAATCGAGCAACTTAAAAACGAAAAAAAAATGAATCGAAAAATTGGAAAGAAGAAAAAACGAGTCAAATGCAAAAACTGAAAAATCGCAAATCGAAAAATTCAAAAATCCAAAAATTTAAAAATTTCGCATTGAAAAAAGAAAAATGAGAAAATCCGATCAATGAAAACTGAATAATTGAAAAAATAAAGAACATAACAACCCAAACGAAAAATTGCAAATCGATAAATTAACTAACTGAAAAATTGAAAAATCTAAAAATCTAAGAAATTAAAAATAAAAAACTCGTGAAACTGCAAATCGAAAAGCTAAATAAACGAAAAATTGAAAAATCAATAAATTGAAAAGGGTAAAATTGAAAACTCTTGACATTGCAAATTTTCGATTTGCGAAACCGAAAAATTGTAAAATCTAAAAACTTAAAATCTAAAATTTGGAAAATCGGAAAACTGAAAAATTTAAAAATGAAAACTCGAAGAGATGCAAATCGTAATCGATGAACTGAAAAAGTAAAAATTGAAAAGCCGTGAAGTTGCAAGTCGTAAAACTGAAGAATCGAAGAAGCGAAACATTGAAAAAATAAAGAAAATAAAAACCGATACGAAAAATTGCAAATCGAAAAATTGAAGAAATGAAAAATTAAAAATCAAAAAAATCGTGTAAAATTCCAAATCAAAAATTTACCAAATCTAAAAATTGAAATATTCAAAAGTTGGAAAATCAGAAAATTGAAATATTTAAAAATGGAAACTCATACGTTTCATAATATTGAAGAAAAAAAAAGGAAAATTGAAATTGAAAACACAAAAAATGTAAAAATCGGAACATTGAAAAATTGAAAAATTTAAAATATTGAGAAAATAAAAAAGCGAAACAAAAAATTACAAATCGGAAATTGAAATTAATCAATGAAACAAGAAAAATGAACAATTGAAAAATCACCAATCGGATATCTGAAGAAACGAAATTGCAAAAATTAACATTGAAAATCGAATAATTGAAAAAATAAAAAAAATAAGAACTCGAAACGAAAAAACGTATATCCAAAAAAACGAAAAATTAAAATTAAAATCTGAACAAACAAAAAAAAAAAGAAAAATTGAAATTGAAAACTCCAGAAAATGTTTTTCAAGTTCTTGTTTTCCAATTTTTATACATATTTTACATTTTATACTTTTTCGTTTTTTCATTTTTGATTTTTCCATTTTACAATTTTATGATTTTTCCATTCTTCTTTGATTTGAATCTTTGATTTGAGAAATTGAAAACTCGGAAACCTTAAAAATCGGAAAACACTGAAACGTCGAAAAACTGAAAACACGAAAAATTGCAAAATCGAAAAAGTGGAAAATCGGAAAATTGCATATTGAAAAATTGAAGGAACGCAAGATCGAAATATTAAAAAACTAAAAATCGAGCAACTTAAAAACGAAAAAAAAATGAATCGAAAAATTGGAAAGAAGAAAAAACGAGTCAAATGCAAAAATTGGAAAATCGAAAGTCGACAAATTGTAACACTGAAAAATCGCAAATCGAAAAATTCAAAAATCCAAAAATTTTGAAATTTCGCATTGAAAAAAGAAAAATGAGAAAATCCGATCAGTGAAAACTGAATAATTGAAAAAATAAAGAACATAACAACCCAAACGAAAAATTGCAAATCGATAAATTAACTAACTGAAAAATTGAAAAATCTAAAAATGTAAGAAATTAAAAATAAAAAACTCGTGAAACTGCAAATCGAAAAGCTAAATAAATGAAAAATTGAAAAATCAATAAATTGAAAAGGGTAAAATTGAAAACTCGTGACACTGCAAATTTTCGATTTGCGAAACCGAAAAATTGTAAAATCTATAAACTGAAAATCTAAAATTTCAAAAATCGGAAAACTGAAAAATTTAAAAATGAAAACTCGAAGAGATGCAAATCGTAATCGATGAACTGAAAAAGTAAAAATTGAAAACCCGTAAAGTTGCAAGTTGTAAAACTGAAGAATCGAAGAAACGAAACATTGAAAAAAATAAAGAAAATAAAAACCGACACGAAAAATCGCAAATCGAAAAATTGAAGAAATGAAAAATAAAAAAATCTAAAAAATTGTGTGAAATTCCAAATAAAAAATTTACAAAATCTAAGAATTGAAATGTTTAAAAATTTGAAAACTCATACATTTCATAATATTGAAGAAAAAAAACAAGAAAAATTGAAATTGAAAAAACAAAAAATTTAAAAATCGGAACATTGAAAAATTGAAAAATTGAAAATATTGAGAAAACAAAAAAGCGAAACAAAAAATTACAAACCGAAAATTTAAATTAATGAATGAAACAAGAAAGATGAACAATTGAAAAATCACCAGTCGGATATCTGAAGAAACGAAATTGCAAAAATTAACATTGAAAATCGAATAATTGAAAAAATAAAAAAAACGTAGGTATATCCAAAAAAACGAAAAATTAAAATTAAAATCTGAACAAACAAAAAAAAAAAGAAAAATTGAGATTGAAAACTCCAGAAAATGTTTTTCAAGTTCTTGTTTTCCAATTTTTATATATATTTTACATTTTATACTTTTTCGTTTTTTCATTTTTGATATTTCCATTTTACAATTTTATGATTTTTCCATTCTTCTTTGATTTGATTCTTTGATTTGAGAAATTGAAAACTCGAAAATCTTAAAATCGGAAAACACTGAAACGTCGAAAAACTGAAAAAACGAAAAATTGCAAAATCGAAAAAGTGGAAAATCGGAAAATTGCATATTGAAAAATTGAGGGAACGCAAGATCGAAATATTAAAAAACTAAAAATCGAGCAACTTAAAAACGAAAAAAAAAATGAATCGAAAAATTGGAAAGAAGAAAAAACGAGTCAAATGCAAAAATTGGAAAATCGAAAGTCGACAAATTGTAACACTGAAAAATCGCAAATCTAAAAATTCAAAAATCCAAAAATTTAAAAATTTTGCATTGAAAAAAGAAAAATGAGAAAATCCGATCAATGAAAACTGAATAATTGAATAAATAAATAACATAATCTAAAAACTGAAAATCTAAAATTTGGAAAATCGGAAAACTGAAAAATTTAAAAATGAAAACTCGAAGAGATGCAAATCGTAATCGATGAACTGAAAAAGTAAAAATTGAAAAGCCCTGAAGTTGCAAGTCGTAAAACTGAAGAATCGAAGAAGCGAAACATTGAAAAAATAAAGAAAATAAAAACCGACACGAAAAATTGCAAATCGAAAAATTGAACAAATGAAAAATTAAAAATCTAAAAAATCGTGTAAAATTCCAAATCAAAAATTTACAAAATCTAAAAATTGAAATATTCAAAATTTGGAAAATCAGAAAATTGAAATGTTTAAAAATTTGAAAACTCATACATTTCATAATATTGAAGAAAAAAAAAACAAGAAAAATTGAAATTGAAAAAACAAAAAATTTAAAAATCGGAACATTGAATAATCGAAAAATTGAAAATATTGAGAAAATAAACAATTACAGATCGAAAATTTGAATTAATGAATGAAACAAGGAAAGTGAAAAATTGAAAAATCACCAATCGGATATCTGAAGAAGCGAAATTGAAAAAATTAACAATGAAAATCGAATAATTGAAAAGATAAAGAAAATAAGAAGAAGTCGAAACGAAAAAATGTATATCCAAAAAAACGAAACATTAAAATTAAAAACTGAACAAACAAAAAAAAAAGAATAATTGAAGAATAAAAATTGCAAGTCAAAAAAGCTGCGGGATTCATTGGGCTGCACTTCATGGACGAGGAAAGTTCTTTCGAAATAAACTTGGACAATTCTTACGTGTAGTAAACATATCAGAATATAATTTTAATAAACGACTAAAAATGCACATTTCTTTTTGCACTAATAAAGCAAGCAATATTTCTCGATAATTTCCCCCGATAAATTACCTTCTCCGCTGTTTCGATTTTGCCGCCCCTGCCCTTATCCAGCCGGACAATTCTCCCAAAAACCCGACCTCATCTCGCGTCGGCAGTAAATAATAAATATCTATCTCCAAGACACCATTAATTCCGATTATCTCCCTCCAGACTGCGATTAATCAGCCCCCTTCGACATTATCGTAATTGTCTTGACCTTTACGACTGCGATAGGCAGCAAGATAACAAACCGTGTCCCTGTATTGAGCCATCGATTCGCCAAAGCGCCGAGACGAGCATCTGTTAAGTATTCAGCAACAACGCGAGGTACTCACCTAAAAGCTCGATCCGCCACATGTTGCAGCCGGTTATTGGCCAGGACGAGTGCTTGAACTTGGCATCCTGCCAGGCTTTCAGCCTCCAAGCTGACAGTCTTCGATCCCACCACCTCCAGCTGGCTAATGCTGCCTTCGGGCAAATCTGCAACAAACTTACTTTTAGGAAATTATTGAAAAATTGGCGGCGACTCGCGCGGAATTGAGGACGTGGAGCTAATTCCGGAGACTGGGAATGCTCTGTTTTAAGTTTAATGGCGATTAGGAGCTAATTTGGCGAATGGAACTTTCGCTAAATGATCATTGGCTCAATTAGCGTTTTGAAGCGGAGGTGGGTCGCGAACGCAAAGAGCAAAGGATAAATGGGGCATTAGCGAGGACATCGGGCTGTGTTGAGATAGATCCTTTATGTATCTGCATAGTTCGGAGCTCTAATTAGTCCTAATGTAATCACTATAAAAGTTGATGTAAGTGAGCTTCGTAGATGCTGGGTTTGATTCTTACAACAAAGTTCGTATAAATATAAGTTCTCTGAATCTTCTCTAAAATTTCTCAAAACTGTCTAAAAATATACAACCTTTTTTCAACAGATTTCAGTAATTTCAAGAGATATATTGCTAATAATTGCAGATTTATGCTTCTGAAAGATATTTCAAACGAAGTATATTTCAAACAAATTTTAATTTTTGGTTAAAAATGGTGGAGGCGCCGAGATAATATATGTTAATTCTACGAATAAATACAAATTTTTCGAAAACTTTAAAGAAACTTTTACATGTAATAACGAAGAAAATGATGCTCTTCTATTGTTAAATGCAGAAAATTGACGAATAAATACAGATTTCAATCAAAATAAATGATCTTTTCTTCGACAGACCTCAGAAATTATAATTTTTCCCTTATAAATGGCTTATGCACTGTTGTTTAATGAGATATAGTGTAAATAATCACAGATTTGTGTTCTGAAGAAAATTTACAATCAGATAGATTGATTTAAAGGTCGATCCAACTAAATTTAGTTTTTTATGTAAAAATGGTGGAGGCGCCGGGATAATATTTTTTTTATATCTATAATTTTAGAAGGAATTCTATGGATCGAAAATTATACTTCAACACAAATTTGAAACGATCTTGCTTTCGACAAAGAGCAGAAAGCAGGTTTTTGTGGAGTTAAATTAAAAAAAGGCTGTTTGTAGCTCAAAAATGACACCTTCTTAGTTATTAATCTCTATATCCTAAACGGAGTGAGCATCTTGTTTGAAGATTTGCTTACAGAACAAGAAAGCTTCAAGAAATTGAATGCTTGAATCACCATTCGAATTGTTGTGCCGTTTTGGAGTTTTGTCCCGTTAAATTGGAAAAAAAAAATTTAGATCAAAAATGTTACTTTCTTACATGTTCGTCTCTCCAAAATAAACGGATCGAGTATCCGATCTGAAAATTATCTTACAGAACAAGGAAGCTTTGGAGTTATTTCTAAATAAATAAAAAACGCGATTTTTTCGTCAAGAATCACAGCTTTCTAGAAATTAATTCCTGCATGCTAAACGAATTGAAAAATCCGGTTTGGAAAAAAATTTCAAAGAATTGATTGTCTCAAACTACCAATCGGATTCTTGTGCTGTTTTTGAATTATCCTGTTAAATTTGAAAAAAATATTTTTGACTGAAAAATTGAAAACATTGAAACAAAAATGTAAAAAAAAGCGACAAAAAGGCAATAAAACTTTAACAAAAAGGGATGACAAATAATCGATTAAATAAAGGACCAAAAAAACACCACAAAAAAAAAGTCGACGAAGGAATGCTACAAATAAATGTAAGGAACAATTTAGAACATGAAAGAAGAATTACAAAATTAGGAAAAAAATCGAAAAAAAGGCAAAAAACGCGGTAGAAAAAGTCGGTAAAAGAAGTGACTGAACAAAGCTGACAAAAAGGTCTCAAAAATACTCAAAAAGAGTGACAAAATTTCGCAAGAAAAAAGTCATAAAAAAAAGTTAGAAGAAATGGTTACGAAAAGGGGATAAAAACGTATAAAAGCGAAAAAATGAGATAAAAAAAGTAAACACAAGACAAAAGCCACAAAAATCCAAAACAGAGGGGATAAAAGTGTAAGAAATGCCGACAATAAACGTCAACAAAAAATGACAATAAAAAAGGGAAAAAAATGACAAAAACTCGATTAAAAGGAAACACAAAAAAAAACAGCAAAGAAATGCTACACACAATTGCAAAATATCCAGAATAGAAGACGATGAAAAACTAGAAAAAACGAAGGAAATTCGATGAAAGGAAAACAAAAAATGAATACATTGAGTTTTCATAAAAAAAAAATCGTGATGAGGATGACCTTGATGACGTCACCAACTTTTGAATAAGAACAAGAAAAGGGCCAAAAAAACAAGAAAACAAATGACAAAAAATGTGTAAAATGAAAATTTGGAAATTCGAAATCTAAAGAAACAAAAAATTGAAAAACAAGGAATTTTGACATCAATAAACGACATCAAAAACCGAAACGAACAATTGAAAATGAAAGACTAAACAGTGGAAAATTGAAAAATTGCAAATTGAAAACTCAAGAAATTTTAAATCGAAAAATTGAAAAAATAAGAAGCACGAAAAATTGAAAAATCGGAAATTGAAAATCTAACGAAACGAGAAATTGAAAAAATTAAAATTGAAAAAACAAGGAATTTTAAAATCGAAACATTGAAAAACCGAATAACTGAAAAAATAATGGAAATAAGAAACCGAAACGAAAAATGATCAATCAGGAATTAGAATAAATAAAAGATTAAAGAACGGAAAAATTTAAAAATTCAAAATTCAAAATTCGAAAGAATTTAAATTGAAAAATTGCAACATCCAAAACAGAGGAAACAAAAAATTTTATAAACGACAATAAACGTTAACAATAAATGGCAACAAAAAAAGAGGTGAAAGAAAGACAAGAAAAAATCGATTAAAAGAAAAGACAAAAAAAATTGACAAAAAGTCGACAAAAGAAAAACGAAAAAATGAATACATTGGGTTTTTATAACAAAATTTCGTGATGATCTTGATGACGCCACCAAGTTTTGAGTAAGAACAAGAAAGGGGTAAAAAAACGGGAAGAAAAATGACAAAAAAAAAGGAGACATGAAAGGAAGGTGAAAAACGCGAGAAAAGAAGTGCCAAACAAAAGCGAGTAAAAAGATGACGAAAAGGCCACATAAAACGAGGCAAAAATTGCGAAAAAAGAATAAGAAAAAACGGGCGATAAAGAGAAGGGGACAAAAAATGTGTAAAATGAAAAACTGGAAATCCAAAATTTAAAGAAACAAAAAATTGAAAAACAAGGAATTTTGACATCGAAACATTGAAAAATGGAATAATTGAAAAAATAAACGAAATCAAATCCCGAAACGAAAAATTTCAAGTTAATCAAAAATTTGAATAAATGAAAGATTAAAGAATGGAAAATCGAAAAACTGAAAATTGAAAAATCGAGAAATTTTAAATCAAAAAACTGAAGAAACACGAAAAATTGAAAATCGGAAATCGAAAATCTAAAGAAACGAAAAATTGAAAAATTCAAATAGAAAAAAGAAGGAATTTTAAAATGGAAGCATTGAAAAAAGGAATAACTGAAAAAATAAAGGAAGTAAAAAACCGAAACGAGAAATGTTAAATAAAAAATTTGAATAAATGAAAGATTAAATAATGGAAAATTCATAAATTGAAAATTGAAGACTCGAGAAATTTAAAAATCTACAGAATAAAATAAGAAACACGAAAAATTGAAAAATCGGAAATCGAAAATCTAAAAAAACGAAAACTTGAAAAAACTAAAATTGAAAAAACAAGGAGTTTTAAAATGGAAACATCGAAACATCGATTAATTGAAAAAATAAAGGGAATCAAAAACCGAAACGAAAAATTTTAAATAAAAAAATTTGAATAAATGAATGATTAAAGAATGGAAAATTGAAAAATTGAAAAATCCAAAAATTAAAATAAGAGACACGAAAAATTGAAAAATCGGAAATCGGAAATCTAAAGAAACGAAAAATTGAAAAAATTAAAATTGAAAAAACAAGAAATTTTAAAACGGAAACATGGAAAAACCGAATCATTGAAAAAATAAAGGAAATCAAAAACCGAAACGAAAAATTTCAAATCAAAAACTTGAATAAATGAAAGATTAAAGAATCGAACACTGAGAAATCGAAAATTGAAGACTCGAGAAATTTTAAATCGAAAAATTGAAAAATCTAAAAATTAAAATAACAAACACGAAAAAATGAAAAATCGGAAATCGAAAATCTAAAGAAACGAAAAACTGAAAAAATTAAAATTAAAAAAACAAGGAATTTTCAAAATTGAATCATTGAAAAATCGAATAATTGAAAAAATAAAGGAAATCACAAACCGAAACGAAAAATTTCAAATCAAAAATTTGAATAAATGAAAGATCACAGTGTGGAAAAATTGCAAAAATTGAAGATTGAAAACTCGAGAAATTTTAAATGGAAAAATTGCAAAATCCAAAACAGAGGGGACAAAAAATGTAAGAAGTGACGACAATAAACGTTAACAAAAAATGGCAAAAAATAGGTGAAAAAAAGACAAAAAATCGATTAAAAATAAAGACAAAAAAATCGACAAAGAAATGTTACACACAAATAGAAAAAATCCAGAATAAAAGGGGATGAAAAACTAAAAAAAAACAATAAAAAGTCGACAAAAGAAAAACGAAAAGATGAATACTTTGAGTTTTAGTTAATAAAATTTCGTGATGACCCTGACGACGTTACCAACTTTTGAGTAAGAACAAAAAAAAAAGCCAAAAGAGCGACAAGCAAGATGACAGAAAAAGTTTAACACGAGAGGAATACAAAAAACGTCACAAAAGAAGTGACTAAACAAAAGCAAATAAAAACAGACAAAAAGGCGACTTAAAACGGTGCAAAAAAGTGAAAAAAGAATAGAAAAAAAGTGACGATAAAGAAAGGGAACACGAAATGCGTGTAAAATAAGGCGAAAGAAACAAAAAAAAAGGAAATCTACAAAGGAAAGCACAAAAGGAAAGCAACAAGAGGGGAAAAAGAAAAATATAGCTACAAAATAGCAAAAAAAAAACAAAAATGGTCAAAAACCA